CCTCCCCCCTTCCCCCCCCCCCTCCCTACTCGTCCTCCCAGACCACCATGCCCGGCTCGATGGTCGTCAAGGCGGTCAGAAAATGGACGCGAACGTCCTTTTTCTGACCTGGTCGCCATGACCGACCGATTGCCTGGGCCATGGTGGCCTTCCGCTCCTCCTCGCCCGCCACAAAGGGCGCCAGAAAGATGACATGGTTGGCGACCTGAAGGTTCCAACCGGCAGCGTCAGGGCTGTCGACCTTGAGAACAAGGACGCCAGGCTCCTTCCCCTGCCGGAAGTTCTCCACAGCCGCCCGCGCCGAAGCGCCCTGGTAGCCGTCGTAGCAGACAATGTCTGCTGCGCGGCACGCCTTGACAAAGGCGCGTTTCATGCCCTCGAACTGGGCAAACACCAGGACCGAGTCTCCTTCCTGGGTGGCCGTCTTAGCGATGGCCACGGCGAGCCGCATTCTGGCCCCGGTCACCGAGCCGGGAGCCCCTGAGGTCGTGCGGAGTTCGAAAAGGTTGACTGGAATGACGTCTCCAGCCGCCCGGAACTCGCAGCACTCCTTCGAGAGACACAGTTCGCACAGGAGGTGGCCGCATTGGGTTGCGACCGAAAGCCCTGCCTTGTGTAACGGCGTCTTGCCGCATGTCGAACATTCGCCCGAAGGCGAAGTGCCCTCGAAGGAGTCCACCACGACACCCATAAAACGCAGTCGACGAAGTCCTCGCAGGAGAACCTCCAGGTGGGTCTCCACCATGGCCATCCGCAAGTCGACTTCCTTCGTGCCGACGGCGGCCTTTTGGACCTCATCCAACGTGAATGAGGTCTGGCCACCGCCGGACTTTGAAAGAAGACGACCGGGCGCCAGAGGGTTCTCCTGCGAGTAGTCGAGGAGGAGCTTCACAATCTCGACGGCCACGGTGTCGGCCAAGTTGCCATTGGCGGCGTTCTGCATGAAACTGGCAAAACTTGCTGCCGCCGATTCTTCCACCGTGTCCTTGAGAAAGGAGAGTTCTCGCAGGACTTGCAAGAGTTTTTGAGATCTGTGCAGAACGAACCGTCTTTGTTCGTTGACCAGGTTGGTCAGTCTTTGCACCTCGACTCCAATGAGGGTCTTCAACACCTCTTCGTCACTCTGGCCGTTTGTCTCGGCCTCCACACTTTGGACAGTTTCCAGCATCAAACTCGAGCACAACTGGGCCTCGATCGGTCCGCTCGTTTGGTCGACCATGGTCGTTAGCAACTGGAGAGTCTTAGGTTCTTCCGAAGTCGCTACGATCTTTGTTTTGATGGTCTTTCTGTTGAATGTTCGATCTGGATCCATTGCCAGTGGCTTGACGTCCGCATGTGTGATTAACTCGGAAGGAGTAGGCAGAAATGTGTAGTGAATTCTTTGCCTCACAAGACCTTCTTTTGAAATCTGGTTCTTCCGAATGAATTTTGACGAAAACTCGTGTGCAAGTCCATATATCTGTTCCTTGTATGCCGGCGAAGCGATGTTTTGATATGAGTGGAATTCTTGTGCGTCGGATCGGTCTCTGATCATCTTGGTTCGATCTATTCCAAATCCAAACTTGCCTTCCTTCTCATCGTAAGCCGCGATCTGCGTCCCCAACAGTTTTGCCATGGTATTCACGTTATCATAATCGTGAATCGGTGGTGTCCCGGAAAGCAGCCATCTTGCAGAGGCATCAAGTTGCAGAAGCGCCAGCATTGTCTCGCCGTGGATATAGGTGAATTCATCCACAATAAGTCTTCGGAATGCGAACATGTGCAGGAGAACAGGAATTTTCCCTTTTGTCTCAAAAGCAGCCAGTTCCTCACTGAGAACCTCTTCAGCTGTCATCTGCAGTTGCTTAGCTGTAGTCTGATCGTTGTTTGTGTCGGTCCTTGACCGAGATTTAGGGTTCTTGGGTGCGTTGTCTTCTTCCGCTTGATCATCTTCATTATTGGCTTCTGCAGCTTTCTCGGCCTTCTTCTTCCGCTTAGCTTCTTGTTCTGCTTTGATGGCGGCTTTGTTGGTCGCTCGCGTCACATATCCTTCAAATCGCTCATATTTGGATTCGGCAGTTGTTGTCGATCTGACTTCAGCCCATCTGGTCCAGAACTTGGCCTGGTCTTCGCGCAACCCCTCGACACACAAACCTAGATTGGACAAAGCCACACTCAGCCACTCTTGAAAAGCACGGCCAGGATCGTTTGGAAAGCATGGAGAGCAAGCAATCAAGCGCAAATAGGTCCAATACTCAGTGTCGTTGAACATGTCCCATGGGGCTAGGATAAGTCGTGCTGAACGGATTTGCTCGTGAGAATAAGCCTGTAGCTGCTTTACTGACTCGGCGACGATGTAATATGGCCCTGTAATCGACCTTGTGTTACTCGCGGTGAGTTCTTTCCAATCCAGAGTTTTTGCGATCTCAGACGCCCATTGCTTGACGATATTTTTTGGCACCAATATCAGCGTCCCGTCAGACTGAAATTTTGTCGGATCATGAGAGTCAGGTTTGAATGCTGTCGAAGACCGTTCATAGTCTAGCTCGACCAATGCAAGAGAAGTGGTGGTCTTTCCTCCCCCCACTTCGTCGGCGATAATGCCACCGCGAACTTCAGTTTTTGGTAGGAGAGCCTTTGTTTCAAGTCTCCATCCTAGAGCGGGCAGGCAAGACTCGACCAAAGACATTTCATCCCATTGTGGCGGACTGTTTTCTTGAGAGTACATCCAAGCAAGAGCGCGGGATTGAGTAGGCCACAATTGGCGCTTGAGGTGTAAGTCGATGTTGATTTGCGGGTCGACTTGGTCTTGCTCATTTGACAATAGCTGTGGTGTAACAAACTCTCGCGGAGGAGCGAAGCGGTCGTATGAATCTAGTCGCCATTCCAGAGATTTGAAAGCAGGAATAGTCTGGTCAGGATTCGCTAGCTGTGCGACAGCGCGGTGAGCCAATGTCTTGACGTTGACCATAACATTCAGTACAACTTTGTCGTCGAGCGTCTGCAAGAGTGCAAGTCCTGCCTTAGGTCTCATTTTCAGAAGGCGTTCATACTTAGCTGCCTCTAGTGGACTCTCCAGGGCGACAACCTTCTCACTGGCCTTCAAACTTTTCACGATCCACTTGAGTGAGGGTGGTGAAGGGGAACATTCCGTGCATATGGTCATCTCGAGGTCGTTGATGCGTTGCCAACCCTTGTTCAATTGAGGGATTCGGGCTGCATGAGACGCAATCCAGCCAAATTCGCTTAATGCTTCAGGTTGCCGTTCCAAGTCAACACAGAGATCTCGACGGTACTGCAATCTTTGTACGGCATTCGTGTCAAAGGTCAAGTCCAACAGCAGAATTGTTGAGTGACTCTGGCCACAGCCGTCAGTAGATATAAGACTAGCGTTTGAAGTCTGACACCATTTGTGGATGGTGTTCTCGTGGATTGGTATCTGCAGACTCTGCCCTTGGGAGTTTGACCATCGGTTCACCATCTCACAGTTGATTTCCATGCCTGCGGCCAGCTCGGCTGTAGCGAGAGGTCTCCAGGGGGCGTCAATGCTCACGAGAACTGCTCTGTCGTCATTGAGGTCTCGACGAGATGGCTGAGTTGAGAAGACAACACGATCAAGGTATGCGTCTGTCAGAGCGCCGGCATTCAGGAACAGAAAGGTTGGTGCCTCCGAAGGCGACTGGCCTACTCTTCTGTGCAAAGTGCCGCTTGGAGCAGGACACTTCTGGAGCAGCTTGTACTCCCCGATGACTCCATCAAGCACTGAGGACTGTACCCCTTGGGAAGAATCGCTTGGTCGGACTTCGAGAGTTGAGAATGCATTTAGCGAAGCAAACGGTTCGGTCTGGATGCCTAGATTCTGCTCCCATGATTTGACTTGTTCACCTTTGCTGGTGACATGAAGCGTGAAGTTTTTCGACTGTCCGTCCCAATATTCCCATACTCCTTCAAAGAGGTTCGCAAGAGGGTACATTCTGGCCATGGGGTATCGGAACAAATCTCGCATCGCGCTCTTTGCTGGTTCCTCTTCTGGAGCTTTGGCGAATAGTACCCATGTGGGCGTGGCGTCTAGATGGAGGTGCTGTTTGTCCGATTGCTCTTGGTCCGAACATGGATCACGGAGATAGCGCTTCTGGACAAACTCGAGCTCCAGGCGGCAGCTGCTTGACTCGTACACGGCCTTCCAAGAACCTTCAAATTTGATCTTGTGGAATTGCACCTGACTTCCAAGTGCTTCCAAGATTCGTTCCCTTGTCGATTCGAAGACGTCGTTGTTGAACAACTGTGTTAGGTCATCTGGGCGTCGATTCTGCAGGACTGGAGGGAGTAGCTCAACCAGGTGGTTCACAAATGTGTTCGCCAGGGGACGGTCTTCTTGTGGGATCGCTAGACGGCTCAATCTTTGATGCCCATGCGTGTTTCTGCTACAACCCTTGCAGCATGTGTAATAGCACTCTGGACAAAACAATATCTCGTGTCTGCTGCGCCGATGAAGGCTCTCGCAATGACACAGCGGTTGGAGGTCCACAGCGAGACGGACGATGTCGCTTAGAGATTTTGCATCATGAGCACTCGTCCAAGTTTCGACAATGTGTTCGAGACTGTCCTTTTCAATCGCCGCTTCCAAGGCTTGCTCAGTGGTATTTTCTGAAGGACGATGGCGAGGTGTTTCACTTTCGCCTAGTGTCTGGTCAACGTACGCCGGAAATATGCTAGGCCCCGTCCCAGAAGTCTTGTCACAGGCAATGACCGCACTCAGCATCGCTGCTCCGATGACTGTTGTCGACATTGCGTTTCCGGCCAAATCCTGGCACTGTCTTGAATTGTGCTTCTGTAGGTCGAGCTCCTTGATCGCGAATCCTTGCAATGAGAGTATCTCGGCTCCAGCCAACGGAGCGCCTCGTCGAGTGTCAAACAGGCAGCCAAAAGGCGTAACGCATCCAACGACACCCCACTGGCGCCTATCTGTGTCGCGGTCGATATTCTGTGACACATTGATATTTCTGTGCTTGTATGTCATATCGTAGCCCCGCTTAGACACATTGCTGAGTAGATGGATATCAAGAACATCTAGGATCCTCCTGGATTGGATCATCGCCCAGGTCTGGTCGGCATAATCGTCTAGTTTTGGTTCCGTATTCCCACGGCGGTTGGTAAATGGTGTGCCAATTCCCAGTCCATCTTGCACGCGTGCGGCCACATGGCGTTTGCGACAATTGACCCAATCCTGCGAAGAAGGTCTTGCTTTGCTGTCCTCGCTAGTGTACTTGGAAAGGTGTAGACGCGGGTCGTCGTCGCTGAAGATGAAGTCGCAATATGGCGACGATGCACGGCGTTGGAAAAGAGCCATCAACATGACCCATCGCTTGTGGGCTTCCTCGATGTCAAACCCTATTTCTTGAGCTCGCTCGATGTTAATGCCGAGCAAATATCCTCGATTCCGCGTTTGTGGAAGATAATAATCGAGCGAATCCAGCTTGACGGCCACAGACTCGTACCCTTTCTTGCGCCAGAAGATTTTGATCTCGTTCCATGGAGCTCCCTCCACGTTCTCAATTATGATGATGGTTGGCTTGTACATCTTGGCATATGCTCCAATACCATCCAAGGTCTTAGCGGACTCGCCTTCGCCGCGCTGTCCTTTCCACTCTCCTTTAGTGCTGTTCAAAGCGGAGTAGTCCACGCAAGAGGAGCCAGCCACCAAGATGTGAACGTCGTGGGGAGGTGTGTAGCGCCCTCCGTACGCTGTGACCGGCAGATAGTCCTCATTGTCTGGATTTTGCGCATGGGGTCCGAACTCCGTTACGTCCCGGAAGATCACAGGTGGACTAAAGTTTCGTTCGATGAAGGCTTGCTTGAAAGGCTCGATCTCGGCACTCCCAAGATGCTGATACTTGAATTTGTCACCATCCCCTCGCGATGTCAAAGACTTTCGAACCAGATCCATAGCGACAAATGGGCTTTCTGTGCCGGAGCACATGGTGAGTACTCTGAAGCCCCCATCTCCAAAGGGTTTGCAGGCATCTAGCAGTCCTTCGCTCACAGCACGCTCAGTGATAAGGTCGAAAATGCGGTAGATGTCTGACAAAGGCGCAGCGGAAGTGTCAAGGCAGCTGCCTCCAGTCGTTCGAATAACCCTCTGGTGAGCATCATCATTGTCATCCTTGTTGGCTCCGGTGGCGGGCGCTGCTTGGTTGCCTTCTTCTTGAGGTAAGTCTCCACTGGCTGAATCACGTCTCAGAGCCTGTACGACGGGATCGGTCGTTGAGCCTCTGCCATCACTAGTAATGCAGGTGCTCCGAAGCACAGCAAGTTCGCTTTGTCCCGGCTTTGACATTTGTCTCTGGTCAGCACTTTGCGCAGCTGCCGATTTGGCCGAGTCTAAAGGGGCGAGTTCAAGACCCTCGTAGATTGGCTTTTTGGAGAGCCGAGATTCTGTGGAGTCTCCATCCTGAAGTTTGATCGACGTCTTCCACACCTTTGTTACAGGATTGTATCTGGCATACTTCCCAGGAGAAACTTCTAGCACTTCACCACGTGCCTTCGCACCTCTCTTGCCTGTTTGGATCTCAGGTGATTCTGATCTGCTGCTGTCGGAGTCACTTGCAGACTGTGTAAGCATCGACGCGGGCAACGCATGAGAGACAGCAGCCTGGCCGGCGGCGGCTTGAGTGTTCACACTGCTCCCTGGCTGAACAGAGTCAGGACCTTGGGCTTGCGCAACATGAGTGGTGTTGTTGTCATGGGATTGGTGAGAATCCATCTTGTACACGAGAAGCCACTATTGCAAATTTGTCTTGATTGTGCTATGACCCGGAGGCTTGTCTTCAGGAACTTCCAATACGGCGGCAACTTCCAAGAGCAAAGTTGAAATGCGGCCAGAGCCTTCGCTGCAGGAGTTCCAAAGTACAGGCAACGCCTGGTAGTCTGGCAGGCTGGCAGGATCGTGTGTGAGATGTCTGGTGATGGAAGAGCTTTGCGGGGACTACATAGGTTAGTTTCGTAAACATCAATTCAGTCTGGAAGCAACTCACAATCTAGTGATGTTTATGGCGAGATATTTGAGCTGAGCCACAAGAGATTGACTGCTACCAAGACTGCAAGAAGGCTGTAGGATGTTCTGGATAAGAGGAGTTCGATGATGCTGGAACGTCTTGATGGCTGCAGGTACTTGCTGTGCGTTTGATGGTGAAACCTCGTATGATCGTGTCTTGACAGGAGGAGGTCCCAACTGTGAGGCAACGCAATGAAAGTAGAAGTGGACAATGTTTTCGCCAGAGGAAGGAAGACTCTCCAGGACGTTGATCGAGAAGGCCAGACAGGATGCTGCAAGGATGGAGTGTAGATGGTGCTGTCTTTGGGATGATGTTTGCAACGACTGAGTCTGAAGAGGTGAGGAGCGAATTTCATTTTGGAATTGAAGATGCGTGGGTCGTGCTTTGTGCTCTACGCTCCGCCCCGGGATGCAGTTTGTCGGCCAAGCATCAAAGAAGAGCTTTCTCTCGGCGCTGCGATTGAATAACATGACCTTAGACCGTCACTTCATTCTTTTCTTGTGCACGCAGACGCCTTTGCATCTTGAATTCATCAACCGTGGCTGCGATTCTTCATCTCATCTATCCAGGCTTCCGAGGCGGCGTGGCGATGGCTTGATGCACACATCTTGGTAAGTTCCTGGGCAAGTTGGTGTCTAAGTGGCAGATGATCCTTTTTCGTGGCCAGAAAGCACGGTGTCGACCTTGATTGCTTGATGTTGGAGAGAGCAAACACCATCACGACGAGGGAATTCTTTGCGAGCACACACCGCCCATACAGATTTAGCGTGATGGAATCTTGACGCCAGAAAAGTTGAAGACTCCATGATGGGGCACGACTTGTACGGAATGCCAGCATTTTCGACGATGATAAGCCCGATTCACTCGACACCCAGGCCGACAGCTTCCCCTGGTACTGGGTAGATCTCTTTGAGCATTCCGGGGGGTTCAAGGACAGCCACTACCGCCTTTCAGCTGCCGGCGGAACCGAGACAGCAGAGGCAGCAGAGGCAGACCGAAGAGCAATGGACGACAATGCATCATGTACTCGATCCCAGAGTGCAGAGGTTCGTTGCAGAGCTTGATGAGATGGACGCCGAGATTGTTTGTGCCGTTGCGGTTCTTTTTGACATTGATGTGGATCCCTTGGCAGCTTTTTGGAGACAGAAGACACGACCAGCCTTGATTTGGAGGTGAGATGACAGACGACGGATGACGGAAGGACAGACGATATTGGACCTTGAAGGACATTAGCTGATTGAAATGCTATCAAGGGTTCTTGATAGGCAACACTCACAGTGGACGAGGTGTTGGTTGCGACCATATTTTTATATACTAATCAGTTTGCACCGCCTACTGGCGGCTTGCTTCGATGAGGGTCGACAGGGAGCTGACCATGGCGACGATCGGCATCTGTGGGAAGGAGTTCAGGAGATGACCGATGATGGTTGTTGTCGCAGTCAAGTTCGAAGAAGTCGGCCGCCCTGCTGCCTCTCGGTCAAGCAGGGATGAATCGAAGCAAGGGGTGAAAGAGAGGTCTGGCTTTCTTTTGGACATGGTGATACTGCCAGGCGCTGTCTAGTGGTATACATCCTGCACTGCTACTACAGCTGTAGTAGCAGTGCAGGATGTCTGAAGGATGAGATGGAAAGGAGAGTGCAAGTCAGTTGAAGGAGATGAAAAGGGACCAAATGGTGCGCGGTCATGTGGTCAAATCTTCTTTTATTGACCGTGCGGCGCCGCAGGTAGGTGATCGGTCTCCCCCTTGGCAGGCTATGGAATGCTCTGCGTCTCGCGCGAGTCTTTTCACTGAGATTCTCACTGCACTACGGGCAATCTTTCTACGTGTCGAGCTGGAGCTTCATACCAAAGCCGCTGGCAGATCTCCTGATACATTTCATCCCGAGTCAGTGCCAATCGAAACCATCCGGACAGCCCACAGCAGACACAGTTTCGGCTGCAGAAGCGCTACAGGAAAGCCTCGACGTGCGTCGCCCTTGATCCCTCCTGACGAGCTGGAATAGTGGATGTTATACAAGATCTGAAAAAGCCGGCGATCCAAAACACAGCTCAATTGAGGGCGCCACATTGGCTTGGAGGAACGCAAAACAATTGGATTCATCAGCGCAACCACGAGTCTATGAGAAGACACATTGCAACAGCCGCTGATCCAGTGCTCCCCAGGTTGACGAGTCTCAGGATCGTCATAATATGCTCAAAAATGGCAGTACAGCAACGGTATGACAGACACACGAATCAGAGGACAGTAGAACCAGGCGAGTGACTAGTACGAATCAACTATGAGAAAAAGAAGAGTTGGAAGGATAGCGGCTCAGGCAGAGGAATTAGAGAAGCGGAATGAGTCAATATCTGCCCGAGTGAAGAATTGTTACATCTGCCTCCAAATAACTATTCCCGTTGAATATGCATATACAATCAGGCTTGTCAGTAAGAAAGCTGTTTTCTGGACGAATGGTCATCGTCTTATTTTTTCGAGGCAACCTCCTCGCCGGCATGGACATTGAGTCCAAGTCCCTCTGCATCAAGATAAAGCTTGTTCTTCCCTCCAGCTTCCTGTAGAATCTGTGCAATATTGCGAGCGTTTTCGATTTGTCGCAGTTCGACATAACTCCTACTCTTCTTAATAGCGTCGCCGATCAATTCTGCTGATCTGGCTTCACCCTGCGCTCGAACAACAGTTGCCTGCTTCTCCTGCCTCGCCTTGTCGACCACAAAGGCAGCCCGCTGTGCCTCCTGTTGGGCAACTTGCTTAGCCTCCACCGCAGCTGTGAACTCTGGTGAGAAGGACAAGTGCGTCAAGGAAACGTCGTCCAGCATAATGTTGAACCGTGCCGCTCTCCTCGTAAGGTTGTCCCTGACCAATCTCGCAACATTTTCTCTTTGGGTAATGAGCTGGCTCGCATTGAACTGCGCAACCACGCTTTTCAGCACTTCGTTCACAATCGAGGGAAGAACACGCTCGTCGTAGTCTGTTCCGAGCGTCCGATAAATTTGTGGCAGCGCTTCAATGCGAGGCCGTGAGAGGACACGGCAGGTAATATTGACCATCTGTAAGTCTTTGGTTCCCGTGAGAGAGGCGACATTCCGTGGCTTCGCTCGGACATCGTAGTCGATCGGTGTCTCAAACCAAGGTATCCGAATATGGGTGCCTGTCCCGCATCAGTGATCCGCGACGACACGGAATGGCAAACATGACCCTACCTTCATTGTAGATCTCTTTGGAGACACCAGATAATCTTGTGTATTTGATGGCGCGGTGACCACCCTCGACTGTACGCCGTCAGAACATATTGATATCCGTCAGATTCAGAGAGAGATACCGTTGAATAGAGAGTTCGATAGAACGACGCCAGCAACACCCAGGCTGATCAAAGCGAAGATGCCTCTGCCTGCAGCGCCGCCTCCCGGAAGACCGCCAAAGCCTTGACCACGGCGCTGTTGCAGCGTCCGCTGGATCTGCTGGAAGTGCTCCCTTGGATCGTAGGACATCTTTGCGCCTTTGTCAAGAACGCAAATCTGTGGACGAGAGATGTATTTCAGGGTGCAGAGCTAGTAGGCAGCGTCGATGATGCGCCTATTCAAGGAAAGCTTTCCATTTTCGAGCTGCGGAGAAACAAGAGCTTGGCGCCGCTTTTACATAACTTTGTACGCAGCGAGGCAGGATGTCACTGCACGAGCCTCTCTCGCGTCCACCACCAGCTACATCCCTTGACTCGTCTATCTTTGCGACACGACAAGTTTCCTGAGACACCCCAAAACTGCGTGCATCTAAAATGGCTCCCGGACAAAGTCGTAGCGTCTTTGTGGGCAATATACCCTTCAGTAAGTTCTTAACCCTTTCTTTGTGCCTTCAAGATGACTGACATTCTTCAGATCTCAGCGAGGAAAACATTGTCAAGATCCTCAGCCAAGTCGGTACAGTCGTCAAGTTCAGATTGATGACCAACCCAGACACGGGTAAATCAAAGGGATTCGGCTTTGCAGACTTCCAGGACGCCGACCAGGCCGCAAGCGCAGTTAGGAATTTGAATGATTTCGAGATCGATGGCCGCAAGATTCGTGTCGACTGGCCTCACAACAACGAGAAAGACTCGGTTCCAACAAATTATGAGCAGACTGCTGGTACTGTGGGCGATGGACACCAACAAACCGGACCGAACGCTCTGCCTCCACTGCCCCCAGGGACTGATCTCCCCCCAAATCTCAGAGCAACCGATGCCATTTCTCAAACCCTTGCTACACTTCCGCCGCCACAGCTACTTGACGTTCTTACTCAGATGAAGGCGCTGGCGATTTCAGATCCTGCAAGAGCCACGTCCCTGCTCAAGACTGCACCACAACTATCCTATGCCATTTTCCAGGCTCTGATCTTGATGAATCTGGTGGATCCAAAGGTGCTAGCGCAAGTAGTTGAACAAGCCGCGAGACCCCCTCAACCAGCAAGTATCCCTCCGCCGCAAGCCACTCCACAGCAATACCCCGGCTTCCCACCTCCCATGGTGCCTGGCCAAATGCCTCCCCGTCCTCCTCAGCAATTTCCTCCAGCGACAATGCAACAACAGACACCGCAACCGCCTGCCGCGCAACCTCAGCTGTCCCATCAAGAGATGATCCAACAGGTCCTCGCCATGGATCAGAGGACGATCGACTCATTTTCTCCGACTGAGAGGGCACAAATCATGCAGATCAGAGCCTCGATGGGGGTCAGATGAGCTGCAGAGACAATGTTGGGATCTAAACTTGACAAACAATCATATGTCACAAGCACGCCGAGCTGATGAAATACTCGCTCATACTATGCCATACAATATGTGCGTGACAGGCAATATTCACGCCAGTGACCTGGGAATCGAGCCTGCATCAGATTCTCTTGTGGCGGATGTTGTGCAAGTACGCGCTCCGTTTATCCAACACGATTATTACGATCAGGGATCTACACGTTTGCTAAAGCAAACACTTTCAGCCCGGAAATTTCCGCGACGGCGCGATGGGACCGCTTCGAGGAGCAAGTGATCCTTTGTGCACGGCAGAATGCCGTCCTCGACCCATCTCAGAGGATATGTAGCGAGAGAACACTTGAATACTATGCGGGTCAGGAGGCCAGAAATTCCATGTGGAGTGCCACATAGCATTGTCTTCAGAGTATGCTTTACACTTTTGTACAGCGTTCCGACGAAATAGATGTCGTTTCTTTACGCCCCGGCCCTCTTTGACAAGAGTCGTAGGTCTTTTTTCCGTTTCCCTGTGTTTTTCAACCTCTACCCACCCTGACGCTCCTTTAGGAGTACGAGGCAGTAGATTTGATCAGTCCTTGTTCGTTGCACTCGCAGGGCTCGTCCCGATACCCTCGTCCGTATGAGCGGTCTGCGGCCGCAGCGGACTTCCTTTCCTGTTTTCACCACCCTCCCTTCTCAGCCAGGCAGCCCTCCCGGCCTTTCCGGGGGTTTGTATCGGCGACGGCGCAGGCGACGGACTATTCGACATCATCGTGACCCGTCCCGGACCGTTGAGATGTTCACCAGCACTCCGCGGCGAACTCATGACCCACGGGCCGTCTCCCGCGGGGCTCGCGCTCACGCTCTGCGGACTCCTCAGACCAGTGCTTCCTTCATAGTCCCGACTCTGGTACTGGTACTCTTCGCCCCGCCGCTTGACTGGACTCTCGTCGTACGGATCCCAGCCGACTCGCCTCCTCGCATCGGTCCTCAGTGCCTGCCGATACTTCTCGTCGCCGCCGGCACCCGTCGAGGCGCTTTCTTCCAGGAAGAAGGTGAGCAGTTCGTCGGTGATGGAGAGGTGGGACTGTTGCTGGAACTGTTGCAGGGAGGTGAGGCGCAAAAGGAGCTCGAGGAGCGAGAGCGAGGTGCGGATGGAGTTGGCCCAGGGCGGAGCGGTGGACTGTGGCGCAGGCTGGGCGGGCGGTGTGAGGTGCGCGTTTGCCATCGAACTTGTGAGCTGGTCCGTCGCATCGTCCTTGCTACCGTAGTTATCAGCAGCTTCTCCTTCAATGTCGGATTCGGTGTCGCTTGGTTCGGATTCAATGTACACCTCGAATGCGATCCATTCTGGGTCCAGGGACGGTGGGAAGCGCCAGGGGTCATCAATTTGTTCTTCGACATATTGCTGCTCCTGAACCTCTGCTGCTAGGTCTTGAGCCTGCTCGCCATCTGCGTCGAGTTCTTCAATGCCTAGCGGCCCGTCTCTTTCAATCATTCGTCTCGGTGGGAACGCATTCACGTCCCTCTTCAGCAATAACACTGGGTGATTACTCTCCGCATCACTCCCAATGTTCAAAACTTTGCTCGTGTCCGCATAGAATATTTTCGATATCTCGTGGACGGGGATGATCTCCCGAATTCCAGCGAGTCCTATGTCGTCGAACGGGCCAGGGCGAGCCTGGTCGTCTTCAAAGTCGTGGACACGGTCGTCATCAAAGTCTTCAATGATCACCATCTGGTAGGCGTATTCATCTGCTCGGGCGTCTGCGCGGAGACTCGGTGCTGAGCCACGAAGCTCAGTTTCCGTGTTCGGGACGAGGGAAGAAGAAGATATCTGAGCGGAGGGAATGGCGTCGGACCCGGAACCTGTCCCGAGCACGACGTCGAGGGGAACCCGACGTAGCTTGACCCTCGCTTTGTGAATCACCTCCTTCCAAGTCGTTTCTCGGATTTCTTCTTCGTTCTGCGGTCGATCGTGGCCGGCAAATAGCATGTAGACGGTAAGGGTGAATGTGGGTCCGATTTGCACAGCGTTATTCGGAGAGATGGAGTATTGGGTGTCGCCTGCTGTGAGAAAGGTGCTGGCCTGGAGAAGTCGTGAGGGAGAGACAGACTGAGGCAGTGAGGTTGAGAGACTTGCGCCTGAGGTGGTGATGGCCAGGTTGATCAAGGGGACGGCATCCTCAATCCTCTCGAGTAGCTTTTTGATGTCCTTGACAATCAGAGCCAGCTCCGCCTCGTTTGGTATCCTCGCTTGGCTACCGAGTCTACCGGTCTTCCGAGCTGCTTGTTCGGAGGCGTCCGCCGCTTTGGCTAGTCGTTGTCCCAGGGACTGTATCTCCAGACGCAGCTCCTTGGTGAGGGCCACAGCGGACTCTAGCGACGTGTTTCCTCGTGCTGCGATCAGCTCGATCATGTCAATTGCTGGTGAGACGATGCGAATTTTATGCTGGAGTCGTTGCTGCAGAGCATACAGCTCGTCCCGGACATTGCTTTTCGGCGTGCTGTTGAGGAGTTTGGCGGACTGCCTGATCGCGTAGGACGCTGTGATGGTGACTCCCGAACGTATGGCATAGTTCATAGCCTGCTGGGTCACTTTCCCCAAGAAGACATCCATCGTTGCAGCGGGGAGTATATGATCTTCCCACCGTAATTTCAACTTTCTCGGAGCAGGGGACAAATGGCAGTGTCAGGCAGAAAAAGAGAGGGGAGCATAACGCATAAGGGCAGTTCTTGGTGCCAAGTTCTTTCAGACTCCTATTGCAGCAGTGACGCGTGTATCAAGCACTCATTTGTTGGTGCACGTGGTCCTCGAGGCGTAGGGCATACTGCATGTGTGTACATACCTAAGTATCATTACAAGTCTGTCTCGCAGATGGAAACCATTGTTGTTCGCGGATCTGGGTAGCGCGACACTGCAGCCTTGCCGACCGTGAAATCATCGCAGCTCAGCCTTGCCAAGGAAATTCCCGTACCCAAAAATGCCCCTCCAAATAATGGAACCCCAAAGCGCAGTCTCCTCCCTCAGGCTCAATCCTTGAACATCCACCTAACTTTGACTCACAGCCTGCTATTAACGCCTTTTCCCTCCTACAGGAGCCCTTTTCCAAATTTCAACAGTCAAATTTTTCGGCACGTTTGAAAATGGCGGGCAATTTTGATTCCTGGGAAGACGCGGCCGCGCAAGAGGAAGACCTTTCAAAGAGGACACAGAATATGAGCATAAATGCCAACACTTTCAGGCCTGGAGCCACATCATTTCAGCCTGGTGCTGCCACATTTCAACCAGGACAGCCATTTCAACAAAATGGATATCAAAACTACGGGTATGGACAACAGCAAGGCTACAACCAATACCCTCAGTATGGCCAGCAATACAATCAATATCCTCAATATCAGCAGCAGCAGCCACAGCAGCCACCACAGCAGCAAGGCTACAATCAAGGCTACAATAGCGGCCAGTTCGCCGCTTACAATCAGACACCTGGAGGCTTCCAACCCCGACAAGGCGCTCCCATAAGCATTGCAAAGAGAACGGACACCCAGCCGGCATCTGCGCCAACACCACAACAGGCTCCGGCTCCAGTAACTCAGGCTCAAGCGCCCCCTGCTGCCGCTGCACCAAAGCCACAACCGGCTGCTGTGGCTCCTCCTAAAGCAAAGGTCCTTTCGATTGGTGTCCCATCGTCGGCGTCTGCGACTCCTAAGAAACCTGCCTCTCCCGTTACCAAGGACGAACCAGCCCCTTCAAAAGCCGAAGCCGGATCCAAAGTTGCTGCGGCGAAAGCAGTCGAGAAGAGTGGCGAAAAAGTGAGCGGGAAGACATCTCCTGCCCCATCGTCAGGGAAGTCCTCTCCCACACCTGCAGATGCAAAGAAGCAACGGAATGCCGACGAAGTGGCACAATCACAAACCGCCGATGTGGACGCATCCGTGCTGGAAGAGATGTACGGAAAGGAACATGTCAACATTATTTTCATTGGCCATGTCGATGCCGGCAAATCCACGCTTGGTGGCCAGGTGCTCATCCAAACGGGTATGGTTGATGAGCGTACGCTGGAGAAGTATAAGCGAGACGCCAAAGACGCCGGGCGAGAAACTTGGTACATCTCTTGGGTATTGGATCTGAATAAAGAAGAAAGAGCCAAGGGAAAGACGGTCGAAGTCGGCCGGGGCTTCTTCGAAACCGAGAAGCGAAGATACACCATTCTCGATGCGCCGGGTCACAAAACGTACGTGCCGAACATGCTTAGCGGTGCGGCTCAAGCAGACGTAGCAATCTTGGTCATCTCTGCTCGAAAGGGCGAGTTCGAGACCGGGTTTGAAAAGGGTGGACAGACACAAGAGCACGCCATGCTGATCAAAACCACCGGTGCCAAAGAGCTAGTCGTGGCAGTGAACAAGATGGATGACGTTACAGTGGAATGGTCCAAAGAACGCTACGATGAAATCGTGGGCAAGCTGAAGCCGTACCTGAAGAAGAGAATTGGGTTGGATTCGACCTTCATGCCCATCTCGGCGCAAACGGGCATTAACGTCAAAGACCGCATCCCCCCTAACATTGCCACTTGGTATAAAGGCCCCTCTCTACTGGAATTCCTGGATGGCATGGCCAAGATTCAGCGAAACATCAATGCGCCCTTTATGATGCCCATTGGAGCCAAATACCGAGACATGGGAACCATGGTTGAAGGTCGTATCGAAGCCGGCGTGGTTCAAAAGACATCGAGTTTGATCATGATGCCGAACCGCGAGGAAGTTGGCATCGCAGCCCTCTATGGTGAGACGGAAGATGAAGTCGCTTTTGCTACTTGCGGTGACCAGGTGCGGATGCGCTTGCGAGGCATTGAGGAAGAAGACATCCAACCTGGCTTCGTGCTCTGCTCGCCTAAGCGTCTCGTCCACTGCGTTCGGGAATTTGAGGCACAGATCAACATTGTGGAGCTAAAATCCATTCTCTCTGCCGGCTTTAACTGTGTCATCCACGTACATGCGGCCACGGAAGAAGTCACGTTTGCCGCATTGCTTCACAAGCTCGAACCCAGGACAGGACGCAAGAGCAAAAAACCGCCCCCATTTGCGGCAAAGGGACAGAATATCATTGCGCGATTGCAGGTGACCAGCGGTGGCGGCAAGATTTGCGTCGAGAGATTCGAAGACTACCCACAATTGGGACGATTCACACTGAGAGACCAAGGACAGACAATTGCAGTGGGAAAGATTACCAAGTTAATTTTCGACGATGAGTAAATTTCACATACATGTGCAAGGAGGCCTATGTGGAGGTGAATCGGTCGTCCTTCCCTTTCGTGTACAGCAGGCAAGCCGGGCATAGATACAGAGCGGGCGTGGAAAGCACGAAGAGGGGACAAGGGGGAATGCCACGCGATCAGAAGAAACTTGTCATGAACGGGTCAACACGAGACATCGGACGAGACGAAACGAACAGTGCAATGACACGACGGCTAGAATTAGTTGCATTCAAAGGGGGGAATAGCGATCGGGAGGGTACCAAGGCGGGGGATGGTCATCAGACGGGAGAAGCATCAAGCAAGGATACTTGGGCAGATAGATGAAGGTATTCGTGGGGACAGAGGAGACACAATGAGAGGTACATAGATGGGTACTACTTTTTGCTCCTGGACAGCTGGACCGGACCCGAGAATAAACACGACATGAGACTCGACGTTTTCGCTCCTACCTTGCTTGGTACTGACCTCTTGTCTTTCTTTGGTTAGAGTCTGCACCTGTGTCTGTGTCTGTATCTATCATAGAGTTATGCCCATAGCGGTAGCGGTAGCGATAGCGATAGCGATAGCGATACATGCGTATGTATGTCTGTCTGTATACCCAGCTCGCCAGCCACCAGCCAGACAGGTACTACCGGTGGAGGAAGTAGTCACAAAAAAAACTAAAAAAAACTTTTATCTTTTTTCTTCTTTTCACTCTTCCTTTTCTTTTGTGTGTGTCTCCCTCTCTCGTTATAATGTGTTAAAAGTACAGTGCAGTGGTGCTCGAAAGAAAGGTCAAGAACAAAAACAAAAAAAAAAAGGGCCCAAAGAGTTAGATGATAGATCTCCCTCCTCCGACGTTGTCGTGCCATGTGCCATTTGATCCCATCCGTCTAATCAATCAAGTCGGTCAGCCTGGCTTGGGCAACAGGCAGTCAGGCAGGCAGGCCGTCAGGCAAACTGAGCCCTCGATCCCATAAATCAAGAACCAAGAATGGGTGTGATGCGCTGTCCTGCCCTACCGCAGTCACCGTGAGAGTGTGTGCGCGTTTTCCTTTGCGAAATGGTACAGATCCTTTTTTCGTCCCGCCTGCCCCTCCCCCTACCCCTGGTGCCACAGCGCCCAAAAAGTAACAAATGGTGATATGGTCCTTCAGAAATCCTTGCGAGTTATGTCACTGTTTGAATAGGGAGTCAGTTTCCACTTCTGAGACTCCTTCTTCAGGCCAGAATGAGCACAAAAGGTCGGCAAAAATCCAGGTCATTTTGCGCCAAAGGGGCCATCAGCGACAGTATCTGAGGATGGGTCATTGATTCGTCATTCCTGAACGGTCCCAACGACTAGTTAAATACAATTTGCAGTTGCCGGATCGCAAAGGCTACCGATCAAGGGAGAAGAGTGGCAGACAAATCGGTCGAGCTGATCCATCATGCATTGGCCACATCGACTCAGCGGCCAGCACGATCACCAGGCGTTCACGTCGAAACTCGCCTGTAAGTTCATACAGAGTTAGCACTGGGTTTCCGGCGACTTGGGGAACACAGGCAAAGGTTGCACGGGGAATACAGCACATACCTCGTCAAAGTACGTAGTCAGAACTGTCCGGTCAGCAAATTTGCGACCGGCAAGTGCTTGCAACGCCTTCTTCGCAGACTCCGGTTCCTCATACTTGATGAAGATCTTGCCCACGCCAGCCGACTGCCGACTTCCCATCGACGGTCGCGGGATTTTCATGGCCAGGATCTTGCCGTACTTTTGGCATTCTTCCATTACGTCCTCGCAGATCTCTGTACACATGGAACGGGGTTGGTTAGCATTGTGACACCGTAACGACAAAGTAGGAGAAGGATGGACGGGTAGATGGGCTTGGCCCTCCAGCTTGACGCACCTTCATAATCATCATTGTCGATCAGTTCCTCGGGTGTCACCATGTTCAATAGTTGTAGGACTCGCCCGTCCTCCAGATTTTCAGCGGTAGTACCGGCGAACATGGACATAGCGTTGACGCCCATTTCCAACCCAGCAGCCTGTGTGTATCCAATACTGGCGCGGGTCACTTTGATAGCGTTACCCGCTAGGTCCATACCATTGAGACCCTCGATCGCCACGCCGGCGACGGATGGGTCGGTATATTCACAGAAAGCGATGCCCTGGTAATTCGTCAGAAGGTTGCGTGATTAAGGGGGATCTGTGCCAACTTACCCTTGATTCCTGTGCATCACTGTCCCGCACTAGAACGAACGCTTTGAGTTCTCCAAAGGCTTTCAGCAACTCAATGACTTGATCATCCGTCAAAAACGGCGGGAGATTGGTGATGGCCAGTTTATTTGCAGTGTCCGGAACCTCGGTTGATATCTCGCCATCTGTGTATGCACCCTCATCCGCAGACGGAACGATGTAATCCTTGGGTCGTCGAATCTCCAACCCCTTGGGAGTGGCAGTCCCATTGCCGTTCAGCTCAGAATGATGTTCTTCCATTGTGATGCCGTCCATAGCCAACGCCACTGTGGCGTCAGAGGCCTGTTTGAACTCGACGAGCGCAAAAGTCCTGTCTTCAGCAATATTTGCTTGTATGCATGCGTCATTGCCCTTTATGACGTTTAGACCATTGAGTTGAAGGTTGAAGAAGGCCACCAGGCTCTCCTCAGTGACGGATGCGGGAAGGTTGTGGACGAACAATCGCCGTGACTGGCGCGCATTAGAAGGTCTCAATGCCGTGGAGTTTGCGCCGCCCGAGGGTTGGTTCATAAAGGCTTGTAATCGCGTTGGGTCCATCTGCTGCTGTCGAGGGGCACCGGGTAGGGGAAACATGCCGGACATCTTTGCTTGCTCGGCGGTGACATTTTCGTAGCCAGGTGGTTTGATGTCCCACTGCGTCATTCTCCTCTTGCGCTCCAATATCGGGACAATATCCGTAAGGTCGGGAGTGGGCTCCCTTTTCTTTGGGGGTGGACTGTTCTTGCGGCCGCGGGCTTGAGCAGCGAATTCATCTCGGTCTTCTCGTCCGGTGCGATCGCGATCACGGTTGCCTCCTCCCCTGCGATCATCAAACAGGTCGCGGTCTCTCCGGGGCGGCCTGTCATCGTCGCGGCGGCGCGGGCCTCTGTCCCTGTCCCAATCCCGGTCGTCTCGCCTCGTGCCGTGTCTGTCTTCCCTTTCGCGCGCCCGGTAGTCTCGACTCGAGGAATAAGTATCTGCTTCGTAGTCGCGCCGCGATGAGCGATGATGGGGAGACCTTGAACGTCTACGCTCGCCACGATCTCGATTCCGGTCCCGGTCGCGATCTCTGCGGTCATCTCGTTCGTACCGTGTACCCTGAAGCAAGTCAATGGTCGCCACCCAAAGGGGTAGTAGGAGGCAGGATAACGTACATGATGCTCCCGAGAGCGGCCCGTATCTGAAGAGGTCAGCAAGTGTCTGGGACAAAGTACACGGGGTAAAGGCACCTCTCGAGGAGTAGTTGTCCCCGTTCATTGTCGCGATTTAAAGATGGGGGTTGTTTGTTCAGATCCACTGCGGCACGGCCAAATAGCAGAATTGTCCAGGGAATATTGAGGGCTATTGCGAGCTAGACACTGATTCAGATCATAGAATTGTCAACGAGACACTGGTGGAAGAGATTCAATCACCGCAGGCCAGAACATGCAGCTACACAGGGCTTCGCTTCGCGACTCGGACAACCTGCAACTTTTTCGACGGGGACACTGGCAGAACTGTCTTGGCGGGTTGCGGGTACGGTAGCGCGGCTTTCTTACCCGAAATGGGCATATAAGAGAGCGAAGCCAGGCTGGAAAAGGAATTTTTGTAGCGCCGCTTGGGATGATGGAGCAAACGCAGCAAACATGTTGCGACAATTTACTATGCCCAACCAGTATTCGACCCTTGCTATTCATCTGGGAATCATGTACCGAGTACTATGATGCGTCCAACAGTTTTCATCTTGACAAAGGACGATCAGAAATTCCGCATTACGAATTGCTATTCTACATCACTCCCTCGATGCCTTTGATATTGGATCTGGGGACTGGTAACCTCACACCGCAAGCGCCTCCCAAAGAAATGGCTGGAAAGCTGAACGCCGAGGACAGATGCATCTTGAGGAAAAGAGGTGGGTTCCAAAGCTGAAGTTATCCCCTCCAAAATACGTCGCATGTCTGTTTGCTGCGACATCAAGGACTGCTCAAATTTGTGTTGTGGAGTTCCTTCGAGAGGTGGAACGGCACACTCCCTCCGCTGCCATGGTATGAATAGCAAAAGCGAGAGGCCATCTGTCTCGCCGTGAAAACGCCGTTTCCCAACAGCTTTACATCGGTAAGGTCGGGGGACAGTAGCTGCTTCGAGATATATTCTGGACCGAGTTTGCGTTGACAGGTGCGAGGCGGGTATCTCGATGGTCTTTCCCTCCCGTTTGTGAGAGTGGCTTAATACGGAGTTGTTGACGGGTTATGACCTGCCCGCCTTATCTGCTCCCTCGCAATGGCAATGTGTTCCTCCAAGGTCTTCTTGCGCGGCGCGCCGTCCTCGCCGAGCTGCACCTGGCCCATGCTCATGTCGACGTGGATGCCGTCCCTCTCTGCGCGCTCGTCGTCTATGATGTTCATGTCCTGCTCCACGCCCTTTTTGTAGTGGCGAGGGAACCACCAGCAGATGAAGATGAACATGGCCACGGATATGGCGGCCAGGACGGCGACGGGAACGACAATGGCATTGTTGACCATTTTTTTTTTTTTTTTTTGGTGGGGAAGTGATTCGAGGTTGGGAAGTAAGAGGTCGACGGAGTGCCCAGAAGCGCAAAGCATGTCCCTTATCCCCATCTCCGAACCCACGGAGCTATGCATGATCTCGGTGTCCGTCCTCTCGTTGAAAAAAAAAGCGAGAGTACCATACAGTAGTAGGCACTATGACTCACGTGAACGAGAACCAGAGTAGA